GGGGGGCTGGTTGTTCATGCAAGTACCAGCCCAACGAAGAGGCTTGCATTGAACACTGATATCGGTGGGGACGCTCACCGACGTACCTGCATTTTTCGTACTCTTAGGAAATGGAACCCTAGGCCGGCGTGTGGCACCGCCTTCAGTTCAGCCCCTTGTAGTCACAGGGATCCAGTTGGATTGCGTTCTTCCTTTTCAGCAGGGGGTAGCGGCAGATCACTTGGGACCGCTACCAACGAAGACGCCCATTTGATCTGGTGAAATCAGAGTTGGCCACTCTGACGTACCTGCTTGAATTTTCAAAACGGAATGGCACGAGGCTAAGCCCAGAACCTCAAGACATGGTGTTGCGTAGGGCTTTGGTTTTGATTTGCAGCTGTGAGCGGACGACGTCATTCTGTCGATCGATCGTTCGGTGGTTCCTTTAGACTTTATGGCCTCGCTGAACTTGTTGGACCTCCACTTCCTTTTCAGGTTTCCTTACCTGTACTCTTAGGAAATGGTAACCTAGGCCGGCGTGTGGCACCGCTGTCAAGTCAGTACGCATATCCATAAGTGTGTGTGTGTGTGTGCGTGTGGGAGAGAGAGAGAGAGAGAATGTGCCTGGTTGACAGGCTGGTGCGAAACCCTGTAGACTTTCAACAATGCCCCTACCCGATTTCTGGAGGAAGGTGCAAAGGTTATCTTTTGCAGTCCTGCATGGTTTGTTGACAAGTGTTATTGGTGCATCTGTGTGATGTGTGTAATGCATATAAACTTGCAAAGCAATGCTGACAAGGTACTAGATCAGCAACATTACCATTTGTTAAGATTGAAGTGTTGCGCAGTGCATTTACAACCTTGCACCCACATCAATCTGCATTTGCAATACTATATAGTTGGGCTTCAAAAGAAACTCGAAGCGCTTCAACTTCAATTGCAATTTTGATCTGGCCTGGCCTGACTTTCCACAGGAAGAGTCCCCATGCTGGTGCTGCTGGTCGCACCGCTGCTCGTGCTGGCAGCGCACTTGCGAGAAGCTTCACAGTCCTGCACATGGCTTAAATCTGTCAAGGCCTTGTTCATTGTGGCTCTTGAAGGTCCTGATTTGCCAAGGCCTGCCATTGCAATCAGTTCTTGAATCGGTGAAATTGAATGGTTAGAGTTTCGAAAGTGTGGCCTTCGGAGTCAAGCATGGGAGGATGTCCACATGAGTTCCTGCAAAACACTTCCAAGCCAACTCTCCCGTTTTTCCAAAAACTTCTATAGCATCAATTTGCCAGTCTTGGGTCCAACAACCCAAAAGGACAACACAACGGGGCGATGGTGAAAATAGCAAATTATTGCAACGTGAAACTAAAAAGTGTGCAGGTGAAGACTTGATGTTGGCTTTGATCCTTGGCAACTGTGGAGTGCAGAAAGGACACATAATCCACCCACACTTGCGTGACACTGTTACAAAGCATTCATCGCTATATAGCTTTAACTAGGGGCTGCATTTGATGAGGGGTGGGGGTGGGAGAATACATTTAAAAACACATGGTTTTTACTACCATCTATGTCTGACTATATTTCTCATTCTCGTGTCCTTTGCATCACCAAGTTCTTGAAAAGCAAACAAACGATTCCTCTCAACAGTCTATGTTGTGATATTATAGTATCGTATGCATCAGTTGGTTGCAAGTGTAAAATTTGTTGTACAAAGTGCCTGAAAAGTAATATATATATATATATATTATACAATTTGGACCCGCTGAACAATGTACAATTTCAAGGGGTCGAAAAATACATCAAACGATGCTTGCATGTTGCAACTTAGACATAACTAAACCATTTGTAAGAGGGTCCACAAGCGTGATTGTCGATACTTCTATTTTATTCATCTGCGTCATGCTGCGTTCATCTCTGAGTTTTGTCTCGATCATGCACATTGTATGGCTTGTTGTACACAATCACAGAATCCCTCCATTTTTCGACCGCCTGAAAATGTACAATGCCAAGGGGGTTGAAAAATAGATCCAACAATGCTTGCAACTTGCAAGTAAGACATAATCGAACGATTTATCAGAGGGTCCAAAAATGGAGTGATTTATTGACTTCTGGTATCCTCTCCCTCTCTGAGGGCCACTGGTGCGGGCGGTTGTCGTCGCGAAGCGACCCAAATATGAAGGAGAAACTGGATCATGGCAGAAAATACACATCTGCGGACCACATTGCACAACTGGACTGGATTTGAATTGCCTGCAACTGAAATTGTAGAAGCCAACTCAAGCTGAACAAGCATCTCTCAAAACTACTTACCCAGTCCTGACCCTTGCAGGACATGACGATTTCTCTTCCTCAGATAGCCTGCATAGCAGGAAAGGAACCTTGGAAGGCTCACCAAAGGAGCAACCCTGTCAGAATACAACCGTATTGCTCTAAAAATCGACATTGGAACTTGAAGGCTTCTCGTTTTAAGTGATCTAAAGCTGCACGTCTCACGCCGAAGGTTAGGGGCTCCGCTGGGCGAAGCAATCGCATCGAGATGTCCGCCGCACTTCCAACGCCATGCGTGCAATATGAAATGCAAAAATGCCAACAACCTTGAACCTATAAGGCCGAAAAAAAGAACAACTGTACATATAAACCTCGATGAGGGATGTTTCAACTGCTTAAAGATATGTGCCAAGGAGCCAAAATTGCGGCAATGCAGTGGCCAATATGAAACACGCTCACTCTGTCACTCTCGATCTTGCTTGCTTGTCCATACTTTGTCAACCACTGCAAATCAAAGCTAATACTTCACTCACTTCACTGTAGAAAGCGTCTTCGTTTTGGCAGCAACTCGAGCGGCTGGCAATGTATGTTCGCGAGTCGCGCATACTGCGCCGTCTGTTGCTACCACCGCATCCACTGACAGCGCTGCAAGGTGTTGTTAGAGCACCACGCGTGACGCCGTACAAGTTCAGCATCTCATCGAGAAACACTACTTTTGTTGGTTGGGCAACTATCGGAGGGAGATGGCTTCTGCCAGAGCAGCTTAAGCCACGTGATGCTCGCATCTTTGGGGCTTAAAATCCTTGAGGCTCTGTTTTGGAACACGGCTCTGTTTTTGGCCGGGAAGGCGAACCTACTGTACCTTAGACAAAGATCCCACAAGTTATCTTGTCGCATTTTGCGAGGGATTGTCTCCTCTGGTTTTACATAGTTTGTAGCTCTTGAGATGTTGCATACCTGTAGAAACAGTGTGTATCAGCAAATTACAAGCGGGTTCTAGGTGCTGAGATGATAGGAGGAAGCTGGACTGAAGCCCAAATTTTTCAGGTGGTGACTAGAGAATAGCAAACAGCTGGGGCACAGGAAAAACTAACTAAAGGCTTCTGAAGGAAACGGGAGAATCAAACCCTTCAGCGCAGACTGCAGTTCCGGCTCTCATTATCAGGACGCGGAGGCAAAGACCACCTAGCTCAGCCATCTCAACGCAAGTTTATTGTGAAAAGTCTACAAAGAAGAAACCAAACTGTTCAAGAGATGCTCGAATGTTAAACACCCCGACCTCCTCACTTGAGGTTCAGCAAGCTCTTCCCCTTCTGAAGGAATTGGAATACTGCTGTTGCCATGTCCTCGCAGCAGGAGGCGATTGATGGCAAGAAACACTGATTTATTTAAAACAGTCTAGATTCTTTTTACTGTATATACACACTTCGCAAGGGTGTGCAGAATCTGTTTGGTACGTCCTTCTTCTCCGGATTCTTGTCTGGGTGCCAGTCGCGCAAAAGGCTTCGAAACTCCTTCAAGGTAAGTGTGAATTGGTACATCCAAGACTTACACATTCTGTGCTGACGAGCCTTCGCTCGCTGCTCTTTGGGCTCGATTTTTTGCAGCTCTGTAAGCTTTGCAAGAACCTGCAAAGCAGCTCGTCCAAAGCATCTCCACAGCTCCAATTCAAAACCAAATAGCAGAGCAAAGCACAGAGACTCAGACTGGTAAATGCTAAGTCAAAGACTCGTTTTTTTGCTTGCGCTGTCTCTGGATCTTCGACAACCACCGCCTCACTCGAATCTTCTTGATGAGGTAAACTGGCTAAAGCTCTCGACTGCGAAAATCAAGGTACGATGCAAGTCAGTGAGATGTGAGGAGGCCAAAATTGGCCAAAAAGAGGCAAAGGGACCAGCCACAACGAACGAGGGAGAAGGTCCAGCAGCAGACTCCAAGCAAAGGAGCAGAGGCATCAAGCTCACCAAGAGGAATACAGTAACACAGACTAGCTGGGCGGCAAGAGGAAGTCGTATGTGAAGTCGCCTGATCAAGAAAGCAGCCTCAGGATTGCATCAGGCATCTGGTGTACTAACATGAATGCGTCGGAATGCGCTATGACCGCTCTACTCTCAGATGTCCGGGTGAATTTCCGCAGCGGGGAGCAACACAAACACGCAGAATGGAGTGCTTGGGATAAAGCAAACAGGTTGCAATCGCAGGCGTGGATCATGTGCCGCATGCGCACAGTCTGCCAAACAAGTTATATCAGCACTCTGCACATACAGTCATCAACCTGCGACTCTAAAAAGAAACTTACTAGAAACTGACAGGCAGCAAAAAAAACAGGAACACAAAACAGGTTTTGTTACACTTTCAGCAGTACCGTTTGTACAGAGATTGTGATGGATTGGAAATTGGAACCCCTTATTCTTTCAGGGTGCGACGACACAAAGTCTGCGAGAAAAATGCGGAGTATGGCACTGACAGTGAGAGACCAAAGGAACCTACTGCAAGACGGAGACGCATGACGGAGGAGAGGGCAGCTTGCTGCAATGCAGGCGCTACTTGAGCATCTGCTAACCAGGTAACCAAGAGATCCTTTGACGAATTGGTCACTGATAGGAATCCAAGCAGCATGTTACGCACTGAGGACACGACTGGTTGAGGTGCAGCAGTGAGATTAGCTGCAGCCTCACGAACACAGAATGTGGCTGATGAGACTGTGTGCTAAAGCACCTGCACCATTCAAACTAGGTAAACCACTGCAGCACCAGCCGCTCCAGAGTTGGCAGTGGGCCTCACACAAGTCAGCAACTGGCTTGGGTTGTCTATAATATCTAAGAACCCACACCAGTGCATAGTGTTTTGAGCTCGCATGAGGCTCTGGCGCTTCTGAAGTAAATTTGCCTTTTTTCCGTTTCCTGGACGTCAGGCAAAAAGCACCACAACCAATTTTCAGAGTTACAAGCAAACAACAACTTGAACAATCCATGGACCAATCCAGACTTTCAACAGGTGCCGAACCTCTGGCTCTTGCTAGAAGAACTACTGCTGGAAGGAGACGATCTGCGCAAAAATGTATCAGTGCTCTCAAAGCACTTTTGGCAGAATGTCAACATCAATGGCACAGGAACAAAATCAATTCTCACACCTACGGCTGGAACTACTTCGCTTCTTTCGCTTGGTTCTTCGCCTATGTGGACAATCACAAGTTTGCCAAAGGTCATGCAACTTCCACCAGTCCAACCTCTGCCAATACTCAGAACACATCACCCCGAAAAAACTGCTTTGGAAGTTCCAACCAATTTCTATGTGTTTGCTTGGTGGGTTGTTTATGCAACGACACCGAAACAAAATGTTTTGCTGTGGCTTGTTTAACTAACAACAATCCCCATCTGGAGCAAGTGGAAAGAACCGACTCTTGATTAAATTCCGGCACAAGAGACACTGGCCAATACAGTCTCGGTTCGTTAGGAAGCAAGAGTCACAAATTCAAATTAATCCAATTTTATCAAGCAACCCCCGGAATCAGAGAGAGCCTCTTGAATTCTGCACTTTAATTCTTCTAACGCAGGGGAACAGTGGGCATGCTTGAAGTCACCGCGCAACAAAGGCCGCCGTGAAAAATGCAGTCTGGCTCAGTTTGCACGTACCTGTGAGAAAAACGATCACGCCCTGGCTGTGCCTAGAAGAATTGTTCCAGCCGTTGCGTCGGTTCTCTCACTGCAGTCACACATTCTTAAGTTTGAAGCTTTTGGGACCTTTTGAAACCTTTGAACTTTTGGCTTTCAGGAACTTAGTACTGGAAGATGATCAGACCCACTTGCATACCACCTGGTTTTACCTAGGTTTTCTTTCATCGCGGATTCTTTTTGTGGACATGTGGCATGTAGACCCTACGTACTTTATCCCGAGTGTGTCTATCATTCTGTGAGACCTCGAGTGAGCCAGAAGTATTGCCCTCCATGGCCCAGCCTACCTCAAAGATGGGATGGTGGACAGAGCAGGCCGTAAGAGTCATCGGTGGCAAAGGCTATATTGAGACTTGCCAATTGGGCATTGCGTGGAGCAGGTTTTTATGCCAGAAGATGCCCACAATGCACAGCCGGTATCAGCGCTACGCAAGGCAAAGCAGTAGTTTGTCATGTCTGTTCCCCTTCATCTGGTTCCGCTTCATCTGCCTTCACACGCTTTCTTTTTCGTCTTTTTCATGCTTTTCCCGCATTCATGCCCGGTCATTCAATTCCCTTCTTTTGCGCGTGCACTCGTCTCTATAGCGAGTGCACATTTTGTTTTTATACACACCGAAACTAGGCTGGAAGCTTTGACGCAAGCAGGTCGGGCTCATCCGTGTCTCCTGTTCATCTGGTTTCCTCCTCACGCCGCCCACATACTTTCACGTCTTTTCACGTTTCTCCTGTCTTCTCATATAGCACTTTTGTGCACACATGGGACATGTGCTTTTCAGGCCCCCATCACGGCGGATCAGCTGCACATACCTGCTTGAGTGCTACATAACCTTTGCATCGGTTCTGTCACTGCAGTCACGCTTGCTTTGGATCTTGTGGTCTGTTTGGGCCTTTGGACCTCGACACTTCAGGATGTTACCCTGTCAAGCTCTTTTTTCACTTAGGCCTTTGGGGCGGTGTTCCATGTACACATTTCCCGAGTGTGTCTGGCTTTGCGCCAGCCCGGAGTGAGCCCGAAGAGCGCCCTCCGTGGCCAGCGAGTAGCCATATGACAAATGTCGATTGAGACCTGTCGACTGGATCGAGCTTAAGCAGGCTGAAAGCCCAGAGCAGCCCACAGCGCGCGGAGTAACCAGTCATTTTGACAAGGTTCAAGGTGGCCACAGCGCCCGGAGTAACTTGCGCGGTCCGTTGCAACGCGTCCCTTATATGCACACACTGCGCTTTACCTACACCAAACAAGGCTAGGTTCCCCCAGGCTCTTTGTTTGCAATGCGGTTTGGCTTGGTCTGGCTTGGTCTGGCTTGGCCCTCTCCCTTCTCATTTGGCTTCCACACGCCTTCCTTTCCTCTTTCTTTGCATGTCCTTTCTGTCTTTATGTCTTTTCATCTGACCCTTTTGGTTCCGCACACATTCGTCGCGGCCTTAGTTTGCCCGTGCACTTTCACATTGAAACCAGGTCCCCCAGGTTTTGGATAATGAGGTTTGGCTCTTTGCTTCATGTCCAGTACACATTGTACACGTCGTTTTCATGTCTTTCTGTCTCATGTCTTTCATCTGTTCTTTGTGCGTGTTTTTTTGCGTGCACATCTACATTTTTTCTTCTGAAGTTTACCTTGTTTCTGAATTTGCCTCCATTGGGCAGACGTGTGTGTGTGTGTACACCTTGGATTCAAAGGTAAACCGTAAACCGTTGCTTTTAATGTTTGCATGGCCCAACGAAGCTCTCTCTATGGCGACCTCAGGGTATGCAGCCTGATCGGACGCATGTACCTGCTTGAGTGCTACAAAATGAGAATCTAGAACAACTTGCCCGCCTTTGCATCGGTTCTGTCACTGCAGTCACGCTTGCTTTGGATCTTGTGGTCCGCTTGGGCCTTTGGACCTCGACACTTCAGGATGTTACCCTGTCAAGCTCTTTTTTTCACTTAGGCCTTTTGGGGCGGTGGCACATGGTGTAACCCTTGGGGCCTGTTTGGCTTTTGTCCCCGTAATCAAAAATTCTATCGCAGGGGAGCGGTGGGCATGCTTGAAGTCTCCGCTCAACAAAGACACTTCAAGCTTGCCGTGAAATGAAATCTAGACGCACCTTGCACGCACCTGCGATGTTATGGGTTGTGGTTGTACCTAGATGAATTGTTCCAGCCGTTGCGTCGGTTCTCTCACTGCAGTCACACATTCTTAAGTTTGAAGTTTGAAGCTTTTGGGACCTTTTGAAACCTTTGAACTTTTGGCTTTCAGGAACTTGGCACTTGAAAAACATTTGACCGGCTTGCATACACCCTGGTTTTACTTTGGCTTTTTTGCCGAGGTTTCTTCTGGACCTGTGGCATTCAACCGGTATCTACTTTATCCCGAGTGTGTGTGTGTGTGTACACCTTGGATTCAGAGGTAGTCTGCGTACATGCTACAGCATGTCCATTGCGAGTGTTCAAAGTTGTCCACCCTTCTTCCGTGGAGTCTCAAGGCTTAGGTGGAGGTAGGTCAGCAGCCATGAATTGCTGAACTCATCGGAACTGTTGCAACTTAGACCTTTGCAACACTGGACCTTTGAGGCTTTCGGTTGAACCTCACTGCATTTCTTAGTGTAAGTTTGTGTGTGTAACTCTGTACATGAAGCTTGACCAACTGCAGGGCAGGAAGAATCTGCTGCACAACACAAAGGACTCCATCCAAATGAAAAAAGCGGTGTTTGATTGTTTGGGTGACATTGCTTGGTCGGCCTTTGATTGCTTCATACAGGCTCATGTGGGATGGCTGGTGCCCGGTTCACCAAATTTGAGCCTTTGCCATGCCCACAGGGGTTGGAGTTGCCTATTGTTTCGTTCTTTCGTTGCTGCTTCGAAAAACGGCTGTGGCCCTCTCTCAGAATGAGACGCGCATGTACCTGCGAAGCACCTGAACTTCCCAACAACTGCACCTTCGTTTCTTCTTCCTGCTTGAGGGGCTACTGCTTT